AAAAAGTTCTTGCGCATTGCGGCTTGATCTTGTGTCTGCATCGCTGCAGGAGCCTGGTTGGGTAGGTTTCGACGCAATCAATGTGTTGATGATTCTAAATGCCTCAAGCAAGCCTTGACTGTTCCTTAGGTTTATTGCATAAGTAGAGGTGAACATAATTATCAAGTTTGCCTGAGCAGAATGATTCCGATGGGACAAAGGCGAGGTGCTGCACGGCCAAGACTTGTAACGCAGAGCATCTGTTTTCTCTTCGCAGCATGCACGGCAACCAAATTTGATGGCAGGTCACGTTCGCGGTCTCCACGTCGACAGACGACAACCCTGGAAATTGCCCGATTGGTCATCCTCCGCGAGCAGGTCCAAGTCGCGTGATTCTCGCTTGTGTTTTTTTGTGGCGGTCTGAGAAGTTCCGCGTGAGGCCGTGATGTTTAGCACATATCCGTTGCTGTCAGTGTCGAGGAATCGATCTCTATTCGACTTGCTATTTGCCTTGGTCCGTTCGTGGATGTCGGGTCGATCCGATTAGCTCTGCCAAGTACCTGTTGGCCTTGGAGTGAAGCTTGCGTTGCCGTTGTTGACAGGCTCGCCTTGGCAAAGATTGGGGCCAGGCGGCATTTTGCATCGCAACATGCATCTGTGCAGGAAACATGTGTGGACATTGATGTTTGCAATTCGATTCGTTGCGCTCGACCTTGCATTTTCGATCGTCGAATCGTCGAGGCCGACCTATTGCGCACTCAGCTCCAGGACGCAGGAGCAGAGCTCTCAGATTTTGCACGAACTCTGTACCATTCGGCTCTAGACATGGGGTTTGCCAAGAACGATGTGTCACAGGTCGCTAGTTGTTTTGCAAGCATCAATTCTTTAGGCAATCGGAACTAGGCAGTGCACAACGTGGCATGTTTTTGTAAGTTTGTTTCCATGTGCAGATGTCGAAAGTGAGGCTGGAAATTTGGACGTTTGTCCATGATGTCCTGCCGGTTGTTCCAAGGTGCAGCTGTTTGACAAGACGAATCAGTGGCGGTGCTGCACTGCTTTTCGCTGCGTTTGCCAGAACGAGTTTCAGTCAATTCGCTTGTGATGCCAATCTGCCGTTGTGAGCAACGTTTGTATTGAGGATGTTGGCGAGTGTATCAGGGCTCCTTTTCAATACGGGTGGGTGTACATGCTGGGTTTCATCAAGTTTGGTAATAAATAGCCTGCATCACACCGGAAAAATGACTCATAAGTCGTTATGAAGTTTCTGAAGCTGGTCGTGTTTGACATCGGTTACAGATCCGCATGACTTACGCGGATGCGCTTGAATGTGCCTTTTGTAGCTGTGTCAGTTGCATGGTCGCAGCAATAAAGCAAGTGTGCTGCATGAGTTCATACGTTGGTTGCCAATTCCGGTACAACCTGCTGAACAAGCAGCTCTTGTGTATGAGGTGGAAGTGCTCAGACGGAGTTACAGGGCGAATTCCAAGCTTCGACGAAATCGAAGCTTGAGCCTCATATAGTCATTCCTTCGGCCATCAACTGATCAACTCGTTGGCCCAGGCGGGCATTGACGCTTCGGCTCTGCTTTCTCCCGTTGAGACACCGCTGCCAGCACAAAATGGTGATGTTGGGATCTCAGCATGCAAAAAGGAGCTCCTTCGTGGACAGCGACCATGATTGATTGAGGCTCTCGTGGAAGACATCAAGCAGCTTATCCAAAATCGAGAGATGGCACGGGGAAACAAGGTGAGTTCATGCGCTGTATTTCGTGCACTTTGTTAGTCGCCGTGCCAGGACTTTGACCAAGCAGACAAGATCAGGGCAGATCTTCAGGATGATTGGTTGATCTTGTCTTGCAGCCGCTTGCATACAGCGGGAACCAGGAGCTCGGTGTTGAGCTGCTGGACAAAGAGAAGCTTTGGAAGTGCTGCTCGGCTCGGACTGCGAGGCGGGAAGGCCAAGGCACATGTAGGATCTTGCCACCAGGTCCCAGCAGAGGGTGTGAGCCTTAGAAGCTGCGATCAGTGCAGAGTGCAGACACGCTAGAACACATCCGAGAGAGGTTGCAGGGGATCATCACTGGCTTCCGTGCGCATGAGCCTGGGCCTCAGCTGAGTCGGTGACGGGGTCCCCCGCCCCTCGCTGCGCCTCGCTGCCTCGCTGCCTCGCTGAGGCTCAGTGACGTGGAGGTGACGACTCTGGTCCTACAAAGAGAGAAGCGCCGAGCCCAGAATATGCGGATGCTTCTGCTGCATCTGCCGCATCTGCCGGCATCTGCATATGTCGGCGCGTTCTTGAGCCTTGAAAATATCGCCCCACTTACGAGGGCCAGGATGGGAAACGACTACGAGCTTTCGGACATGATTCGGGACGTGCCTTGGAATGCCGAAAGCGAATGCTCCATCACTGCATCTCTGCTCCGAGTAGGGTCTGCCTGTGCCAAGGAGCTCAAGAATCGTGGGGTGACCATCGATGACAAAAGAAAAGTGTGGCGCCCACATCGCAGACTTCCAATCCCCACCGCATGCAAAGACGAGCCGACTTGCCGTTCTTGCTAAGACCTGGTCCTGCGCGGATGGCCGCTCTGGGGCAGTGCCGAGTTGGGGTTCACTCACAGGCGCTGCCAGATTCACCAACCCAGCAAGAAGAAACTGAATGTATCTGAATATCAAAGCCAACAGAGCTGTCAGGTGGTGGTGTTGAGGCAGCTCCTGGTGTGGCTGCGCAGCAGCAACCTGCAAGCAAGCCGGGCGACAAGCACCGCTTTTTTGCAAGTGATGTGATTACAAGGCGCCCGCTAGCAGCAGCAATTCCGGCGATTCCTGCTGCAGCCTCCCTCCGGCATTTGATACTGGAGCTTGAATTTCGATTTCGCGAGGGATGATTTGGTTGAGTGATGGTTTCGCTCGAGCGCCGAACCTGTGCTGAAGCACGCGTGAGCGCAGCATGCGAGTGGAACATAAGGCTCGGCTGGCCGTCCCTACAGTGGAGGCATCAGATCCGGCAGTGCAGCGCTGTTCATGGGCAAGCCTTCTAAAGGAGGAGTTGGTCTCGCTGGCGGTCGCAGCAGCGCGACATCCGGTCCGCGACCCACTCCTCTTCTTGAAGCTTCACACTTCGGGTTGCAGATTCTCCTTCGAAGCTTGCAATTGGTGGGCACAGATGGACACGTACTGGTAATACCGAAGACGTGTTTCTATGCATGTGAGTTATCGTTTCGAGCGATTCGGCAGTTTCGGCAGTTACCCACGTCGCCAGGACACCGCAACAAGAGCTTTGCACGCCCTGCGCCAGGCCACACCATATCTCACGTGTCGTGATAGTGTTGCCACTGGGTCAAGTCAGGTTTTTGCCGGAGCTGCAACCCCAGTCAACGTCTCAGTGTCAGAGTAAGCCTTGCCTGTCGTGCTGGGCCTTGTTGCCCCCAAACCGAGAGGCTCGGCCTATACCTGCAGGGCGACCTCACGTGTCGCAAGCGCCAATAGGCAGTCATGGCCTGATAGTGACTTCCTCAGATTCCTCGTGCCAGTACATGTTGCAGCCAGACTGATCCGAGGCACCGCCGCAAAGGTGGGCACTGTCTGAATCTGTGTAGGGCTAGTGTAGGGGGAGTGCAAGTGATGAAGTCCTGTGTAAGTGGTGAGGAAGCCGGAGATGCAGCAGGTCCTGGGCTCGGAGGGATCAGAAATCTTTCGTGCAGATTGAGAAATATCCAGAAGTCTTTGCTGGCAGGCCCTGCAGCTTATCAAGCGAAACAGGGACTGCAGTGAGTTTCTATGAGCCTGTTGCCGTCCGCAAGACTTGCTACGGTCATGTGCATTGGTGGCATGATGAATTCTACGCGCAATTGCATCACAATTGCGTGACCGTGCAGGACGGGATAATGCTAGCGGACCACGAGATCGAAGGGCTTGTGGCCGAGAGAATGGCCCATGTTAGCATCAAAGAAAGCCAAGCTAAGCTGTTTCATGCTTCTGAGGCTCGTTGCCACACGGGAGCGCTTTCGTATGGCCAAGGCCATCATTGATTGGTGCACTGACTAAGCATGCATGGCATACTAGTATGTTGCTTGTGCCGAGCAGCTTTGCTTACAGGATTATGCGAGCTCAGATGAGCTTCGAAAGGAGCTGCAGCAGCAGCCCCTCTTGCCTCGTGCAGGCATGTGCGGGTAGCCCTTGTTTTGTCCAGGTCCGTTGGTATTGAGCTGCTGGAGAAAGAGAAGAAGTGGACCTGTACGGTCTGGGTCTAGTGTTCCAGTTGCACGTCGTTCGAAAGCAACACTGTTCGGTCAAGGATGGACGTCAAGGAGCAATTCCACTTTGGAGCAACATCGGCATGGGCATGTAATGAAGGCAGCACAGGAAGCAAAAAGAGAGGGAAGCGTGCAAAGATGTGCAGAGCATCAACTCTCAGAGCTGGACACGTCATTTTGTGTCAGTGCGCTTCTGAGAGCTGTGGAGTCGCGGAGCTTTTCTTCTTGTGGTCTGGTCATTTCTGCTCAGCACGTTAGTCGGCTCGTCGCATTGATGTTGTGAGAAGCGGCAATCATGACCCGTGAGCCGACCAATCGAAGACGTGTGGGTAACATGCAGGGCATGCAAGGAACAAAAAAAGTTTCCGCGAAGGTGAAGTACCCTCTCCCTGTCTATTCCGAAGATGCTGGCCTCGCTTCATGTCGACTCGAGGGGCGGAGCATGCCCCCCCGGGAGGGCCGAGGCTTCCCGTGCGTCTTCACGCAGCCAAACACCGCTGGCTCTTGCCTCAGGGACGTGCAGAGACCTGAAATGAGCCGCGAAACTTCTCTGGCAGGGCCGTCCCTGTGTGCAGACCGGCCCGTGTTTGCCGGTGCCGGGATGGGATGGGATGGGATGGGGTCCCCCTCGTACTGGTATTTGCCCCGTGTTTTTGATTGCAGGCTTCGGCCAGCTACGTGCCTGCAGCTTGACAGCACCGCAGCTGGCGCACACAGCTCACATCATTCCCACGAATCCCTTATGCAGGTCGCCGTGCACTGCGGACGAATGTCGTCACCATTTGTTCGCACCCAGGATCGCGAGGCAAGGCTTGCCTGAAGCGCGCTTATTGCACTCAGTGACTTGTGCTGCAGTTGAGATTCCGCTGCACTGGAGACAGCCGCACTCAGGCTCAGGCAGCAGAAATGTTGAAATGCAGGCATCGCGTTTTTCCCCCCAACACGAAGCTACAAAAATGCTGAGAAGAAACATGCTCAACATCACCAGCTCCTGCAGTGATCGCTGTTATTGCCAAAGTGTGCGCCATGAATCCACGCATGCTCAAACCTCGTGACTCGGCTCCAACGCAGGTTTCACAGCTTCGATGCATAGACAAATCTAGTCCCGTGGTGTCATGGCCGTGAGGACGCAGATCTCTCAGCCTCCTGGGCATCGTGTTACTTTCCGCAGGAGCCTACTGTCCAGTGAGTTGCCGCGGCAGCAGAGCATCTGGCAAAGAGAGCTCCGTGTCAGGACTCTGTTTGTGTTCCTGGTCGACGATGCGTTCCAGGTGGGCCGTGGACCGGTTCATGTCGGCCAGCTCGGCCTGTTGCACCGCAGGAGCAGCAGGACCTTTCCTCCTTGCCATGCGGGTCCAGAGGCCGGAAACACACAGCAGGAGACATGAGGTTCTTGTGATTTGATGGAATTTGGAAGCTTCCGGGTGAGGCAGATGTAGAAAGCGAGAAGAACTGGCCACGGATGTATTTCCAGGCACGGACATTGACGGATGTGTTTCGGTTCGGTCTTGCGCTTCTGTGCAAACGTAAGCTTGCCTGGAGCCCTTCGCTCAGTTCAGTGGAATGTGGTGCAAAGCCTGTTCCCCATCGAAGTCCTGCAACTTAGGGACCGTACATGCAGGGTTGCCGATGGACCTACTTGTGACGGGGTTCGCAAGCACGAGAACACAGCAAGCGATCGTTTATCTGCTTGTGACTGTTTTGACGCTCTTGACCCTGTGTGCTTGGAGAAGCAAGCTGTCCGTCTAGCGAGTCTAGCTGGTGGTCATGTTCAGGCTGGATGGTTCAGCCGTGCGAACAGCTGTGCTAACAGCTTTCAGGAGGACCGGGGAACATCGCTGGGAAAGGCTTTCTGGGGCCGGTCGACGGACGAGAAGTCCCTCGTCGAGAGTTTATTCCTTCCAGTCGGAGCTCTTGGATGTAACAGTGCCCTGCTGAGGTGGGGAGAGTTTGCGGAAGGTGATGCCGGTAGGTTTGACAAAGACGATCTCGTTGAGGCCAAGTATCCTGGCACGGATGACTCTCGGCAACGCCAATTTGTACTTACACACAGGCACAAAAAACCGATGATTGACTTACAATAAATTACAACATATACAAGACGTATCCTACGACCGCATGGGCAAGGCCAGCAATGCCCACTCAGGATGGTTTTGGTAATGTCCTTCCCGTCGCCCCCGCTTGGGCTCAAGTAAGCACGCCACGCAACATCAGCTTAGCGGCTGCTCGAAACGTTTTAGCTTCAGCTTTTGCTTTGCTCGAGCCGTCACGACTTCTTTCAGCAGCTTTAAGTTACGCAAGCTTAGCAGCGTTCGTGCCTCACAGCCCAGCTTTGCGCAAAGTTCTTCAGGAACTTGACAGAAGTTGAGGCTTCCCTGAAAGACCGGCGTTGTGAGCTCGCGGCAAGATTTACGATTTGGAGGTTGAGGGTGCCAGCCGTCTTAGGCGGCTAGAGGACGAAGTGACCCATGTAGCGGCTTGCTTTTGCATCTTTGCTGATAGGGTCGCCGCGTTGGAGCAGAGCGCTCAGGGACTCGCCATTCAGGTCACATCTTTGGTCACCATCTTATCTTTAAGGAAACCCTTTCAGATGGAGTCAAGCGGCCTCTTCCTCAGCTATGCCGCGAGCGGCATCAGAGGAGCTTCTTGGAGTCTTTTCGAGCCCGCTTTGGTGATATAGCTGCCAGGCCGTTGGCTTTGCAGGAAGCCAGGATGCTGTAGAGATACCATCCTCGGATGAGGAAGCTCCTCCCAAAAGCAATCTCCGCAAGCTGTGGCGCGAACAGTCCCACACTGCCCCCAGTACTCCGTCGCTTCCCCTTGACAACCCTCCAAGTGCTGCTTCATGGCAGCTGGTTAACGACGTCGGAGACAGGGAGGCCCCGGGTGCAGAACACGACTCCGCAGCTTCGCCGTGCAGTCTTACTTGAAGCTTTTGCCTAAGGGGCCCCTGCCTCCGTGACCCAGCTTGCCGCAATTCAGCAAGGGATCCCCGTGAAAGGCACCCCCGGTGTGCTTGCGATGCAATTCTCCTTTCCAGCTGAGTTGCACGGCAAGAGTCTTTCGTACGTTTCCCGGCTCCTAGGTTTACGCCGGTGCAGCCCTCAGCCATTTTAAGCCATCAAGCTCCGATGCGGCCTAGGCGGGTCGAAGCGAGGTTCATGTACGTTTCCGTGGGGACCGTATCCGGGGAACAGTGCCTCCGCTTCAGTTGCGCTGGAAGCTGGGGTGTCCAGAGCCATGGACAGAGGCGGGGGCCGAAGTTGCATCGGGAGCATTAGAAGAAGCGGACCCGCTGAAGCTGGAGCACCTTTAACCGCCGGCGATTCCGAAGAAAGCGGGTCTGCGAAGCGCGCAGCAAGCTGTCAAACTTCTGTTTTTTATCCTCAGTCATGCTCAAGAGGACGCGAAAGCAATAGTCACGGCTAAGCTCTGCCCTGGCCCAGGCAGTGTTCACGGCGGAAGTACGTAGCAAAAGCTGGGAGCTCGGGCACTCATGTTGCATAGAAGCGTAATGCTCCAAACAAGCGTTGCGCACATCAGAGGCTGAGCGAACTTCAGCGTGACCGAGAGCGGACCCCCCTTATGAGTCTCTTCCACAGCGGGTCGAAGCGATCAATCTGAAGGGACAAGCACACATGCCTGACGTCTGCACAAGCTGGACTTACTGGGCATACTCACCTGCGGGGAAAATTCTGAGATGCAACCGCAAGCAGGGTGACATCGAAAGCTGCAGTCAGGGTCGCCACAGCAAGACAAGTCATGCGGCCGCCAGAATGATGAATGCAAGCATGTGCAGTTCCGGACACACTAAAGTAGGAAGCGAACCTGGCCGCACGCAGGCCGTTCGTGGGGCCGTGCCTTAGGCACCGCCCTGGCCTCCACTGCCAAGGAAGCTGAAAGGGCTGGTCCCCAAGTTGTTCGCCTGAAGGTTCATCATCCCTTGAGTACAGCTCAGCGGAACCCGGGATGCGGTGATGTCCTTGCAAGAAGCGGAAAGTCAGTGGTATGGATAGCTGAGCCATCCAGCTCAGAAAAGTCGTCTTCACGGCGCGCAGGGTCCTGAGCCTGGGCCAGCCACATTCCACAAGAAGCCCACGAAGCCGAACCTTGGTTTGCGCGTATGAAGATGGTGAGAAACTCTCGGGTGTAGCCTCCCGTGCAAAGTGAAGACCAGCGAATGTGTTGTGTGTCTGAAAGCGGAGGCTCCACCTATACAGACATGCATACTTCCACACCACAGGGCCTTCGCCGCGAGTGTATCCTTTGAGAGAAGCTGCCTCTCCAGGAAAGCACGAAAAGACAACGGAAGCGGGATGCTCTCTCGCTTATCCTTGTTCGAGGGGGTCACGCGCAAAGCAAACGATGGGCTGTACAGGTCGGGTATGGCCTCAATACCCAAGAGTTTACGATGCCACCACAAAGCTTTCAACACGTTCTGCGCATTCGAAAGCGGCCCATCCTTTGAACTCCGAGACAAAGCGAAGAATGCATCCAGGAAGGGTCGCTGTTTGGCTTATCAAAAGATCCACCCGGCTCCTCAAATGTGGTGAAGAAAAGCTGCACCCTTCTGAGGTACCTAGCCCCTGTGGTATCACTCACCTTAGCAAGGAGGTGTTTCCTGATCGACTCCCCGAAACACTTTCATAAGGCTGTGAGATCACTGCTGTAAAGCGGCCGTGTGCTGCGGCCCCAACAAAGCCCCCACGGCAAGGAGTGTGCCCACGGCAGCCACACCGGCGACAAACAAAGCACCGCCTCCACCACCTGGATCCAACCGAACCAATCATCTGTACTCAATGCGGCCGGGACTATAGCTGCACGGTACCCGGGACAGGTCGAGACATGCCTGGCGGTGGTGCAGCTGCAGGAAACACTAATATACGTCGAGTCTAGGCAACCCGAATGACGTTGTCTGCGGACCAGCATAGCAGCAAAGCCGGGGTTCGGCAGCCCCTCAATCTGTCGAGCCAGCACCATGGGTCTGCAACCCAAACTATGCGGGGCGGCACAACGGCGACTGGACCACTAACACCAAGCCGCCACGCCACTCGTGGCATGGTCGCAGGTCCTCCCGATGGAGCCTGACCGATTCTCCTGAAGGGGCCCACTGCCTCATTTGCTGCGACGCAGTGTGTTTTCTCTCGCGGGGCGGAGGGCTCTGCAGTTCTCTCTTTGAGCGGCAGCACCTCGGGTAGACCTTCAACAACCTCTGGAGATGATGCACGCCACTGATCGTTGGCTCGGAAACACCCCAAACCCGGAGCCGATCCATCCAAGGCTCGGGTGACCCCAAAGGGGGCCATCGCTGACCGATATGTTTTCTCTTTCCCGAGAGTTCCCAGCAAGGCAAAGGGCACATGTTGTTCTGGCGCTGGCGGAATCAGGCGGGAATTGAAAAGACCCTTCCCATTGTCTGCGGCAGTTGCAGGACATCCGAGGCCGGGCGGAGTCAATGTACGGATCCACTGGCGCCACAGGCGAAGGGGCAGGAACCGGCTGTTCGGTTGCGTTCTTGGCAGGAGTGCGAGGGGCCGCACCGAGAACACTGGCGCGGTAGATCCAGTGACTTTGCCGCCTTATTCAAGATGCGCTGAAGCTCCTCCTGCATCTGTACATCCGGGTATATCCGGGTTAGTCTCCTCTATATCAGTGGCCGCTTCCCATCTTGAGTTTGAGACTCGAGGTCTCGTATTTTGCTGTATGTTTTTTTTCCGCCAGGTGGCGCTCCTGTTCCCATGCATACGATGCCCGTATACGATGCACATGGGAATCCCAGGCCTGCCCTTTCTGCAGCAATTCCTTTTATATCTTCTGCAGTGGTTGTTCGAGGCGGCGTGCATTGTTCACTGCTTGTTTGAACATTTCTGGTTATTCCACCGCCGGAGGGCCCCGGCGTTTGGGAAGGGCCCCGACCCGTGTGCCAGGAACTCCGGGACGAACGTGGAAACCCAAGCAGCCGGAGTCGCCTGGCCTTACTCCTAAGGGAGCGAAGGCAGCGATGCCAAGCAGGGTGGAAATAAGCAAAGGCTCAGTGGCTGACAATGCCTCACAGCGCGCTTATGGGTGTTCTAAGCCCATATATAGAAATATATATATATATATATATAATACACACACACACACATTTAAATGTTTAGTCGCTTTTCCACTCAGTTTTCGAGCGGTTACCATTAAAAATTGCAGGATCTGGCCGCTTCAGCCCACAATCTTCGTGACAATTGTTCAAGTTGAAGTCTCCGAATCTCAAAACGTAGCGATTGCCGCTAAGATGGCAAGGTTCAGCCGCTTCAATTTGTATTTTAGTGGCAATTAGTTAGTCTATCAGCAGTTACCACCAAACTCGTCGGATCCAGCCTCAGCATTAGCTCGTGCTGTATGTTGTGCTGAGGACTGGTACTGCGCCCAGGCACGTTGTTTCCTGCTAGTGTTACGCTTGTGTGTCGCTTTTGGCCATAGACATTTGGGCACCCGGCAATCCCGGAACACGTCTCTCCTCCGCACAGGAGAGACGGGTTCATCGACACTTCTTGGGGGCTAGCTGTTGCTGACGAGTATTGATTGCGGTTTAGTGCTGTGCACAGTATCAGGTGATGAAGTACATTGGTGAGAGCGACTGGAGCCTCGGAAGCATCGACTGCTGCAAAATCGAGCCCTCGTCCTTCTCGCCCCCTGTTACAGCGGAGGCCCAGTCCAGAGACGGCTGCAGCAAAATACCGAGAGAAACCTCAAGAACAGCAAGCAACATACCTGCCCGTGTTGTCTATTCATCAATGTGCTCAGTAAGTCAAACACATCGACCCGAATGTTTTGATTCTGCATCTAAGGATCATTCAGTGGATGGATGATATGCCTGATGACGCTGCGAAAGCTTCTGTTGTCGCGACGTTGCCTGGCTGCACGGCGGTGTTGAACTGTTGCTGCAGGGTACTGCAACACAGACCGGGCCAGCATGTATGCAAAGAAAACAATCTCAGGACTGAGATGAAACATATTAAGTTGAACATGGGTCGCTGAGCCAAACACTGGCTGCACCCGTCGACATTACACAAACATTCCTGCTTTGCTCTGTAAGCTCGAATCACGAGCTTGCTGGAGCATTTCGGCCAACTTGTGCAGCTCAGCAGCACTGTTTTGGCGTGCCTTGCCGATGCTCCATTCCGGGGCTGAGCTTGAGAGCTGTGGGCAAGCAGCAAGCCTTAAAGACTGGCAGACCTCGTCCAGCGCAATGCGCAGAAATAGAATCAGTCTCTCGTCATGACAGAAATGGGGCGGGGCAGGTGCGGTTTTGGAGAACCCGCTGGCAGTTCTTGAGCTCTGCCCCTGATCTCAGTTGTCGCCCGCCGCTGGATGGCACAAGGCGGCGCCGGTGTGGTCTGAAAGTTGCAGTGCATCCTGCCTTGAAGTCCTAAGCTTGCAGCACGGCCTCTTTCTAGGATGGTTCTCGCTGGGCCTTGCAGACGTCATGTTCTCGGTTGGTCACTTGGAGCCTGGCCAAAGCGGGGTCCGTCTGGGTCCGTCTGAGGCCTCTTCAGGCCACCGTACCCGGCTCGGTAGAAGCGGACCGAGGGAGAGGGAGAAGAAATCAGCCGCATGCTTGTACCATCTTGTACCGCTGTCTCCCAGACAGTCGTGGAACCTCTTTGGGTGGACTTTGTCGCTTTTCCGGTTGTTTTTTCTGTTGCAGGAGCATTTTCTGCGTTTCTGCCGACGATGAAGTCGAAGCAACATTGCTCTCTGGCTTCTGGTTTCTGGTCCTAGTCTGCTACTTGAACCCTTTGGAGATCTCTTCGGATCGCCGCTTTCGACGGATCGAATGACTCCTCGACTTCTGGCTCCTTTGGCCATGCGACTCCTTTGCGCTGCGCTCTTTGCCCAAGATGTCGGCACCAAGGGCTGCGAACCGCTCGTGATTTCTGTTTGTGGCTTGGCTTCGCATGTTCCGGCCCTTCAGCTTACAAGGCCGACTGTTTCCACCCAACTTCCGTGAATCTTCCGGAGTATCCTGCCCGCCCCGGTTGCGACCCACCGGCATCGAGCCAACCCTTTGTCAATGTCCCCGCTCTGATCGGAATGCCTTGCTCATGCTTGCACATACAAGGCCGAGCGCCGGACTCTAAGTGTTGGCGGGCACCGTGATCCTTTCGGTCAAGGCAGCGTCGGGGAATGAAGTCGTTTCAAGTGAGGGTGTCGTGACCAGGACGAGCTACAACACCCTCCTGCCTTGCTGGAAGCACAGACTCCAGTGCCGTAACCGTATCTACTTGATTTGAAAACAATCTGATGTCGAAGTCTTCAGCTTGTGATGCTGTCCACGGGAACGACGCTTAGGTGCGGCGACCTCCACTTCCGCAGGCAAAAAGGGCTACCAAATTGCCAATCGAATCGGTAGATGGAAAGCCAGGCCACAACCACATCTGCAAATTGCTCTCGCAGGCGCCAGTGGTGTCACGGGCTTCTGGTCCGTCTTTGCAGGCTCAGAGCGCTTCTGCGGAATCTTGCAAAACAACAAGTCGTACACACAGTAGCATCGGGGCTTTCAAGAAGAAGCTGCATGCTCGCAGGCTTTCCCTCAGCACGCGGAAGCGACGTCGCGGACCTTGCACACACCACGGGAGTGCCGACAGTTTCTTCTGGTCCTTGATGTTTTATTTTGCAAGGATGCTGTCCTGCCCCGCCATGACCGCGAACAGGCAAATGACTTCTGGAGACCCTGCGTTGAGCCACGAAGACGTCTTCGTGGTGCCAGGTCTCCTCATATGGTTAGCCGTGGAAGCTTTCCGTCGGCCCTGCGAGGGCAGGCAGAACACGTCCCTGTCCACCCCCGTCCTGATTTCACTGACTTGATCAGGTCGCAGCGACAGTTGCGAATACAATGCTGGGCCCTCACACATGACAGATCACGGAAGTCTGGAAGCTTGGGTCATCATGGCTGTTCAACCTGCAGGTCCACTCCAAATCTGCCACGTGCAGAACCTCAGCAATTGTGCGCCATGCGATCGAGGTGCAGCGCAGCCATTGCGACTAAACTGCTAGCAACTAGCACATGGTAGTAAGGCCTGCTGCAAGAAAGTCTTCACATCAGTAGAGTGAAGACGACCTGCAACACTGAGCTAGACCTTTGGAAGGCCATTCTTGCCGCCGTTGCTCTCAAGCGCTCCACAAAAGTTCGAAAACACGGAAATCCTGCGAGACCGGTGGCAGAACTACCATACATTCTCTCACATCCCTAGTTGTCAATGCATCATGCTCGCACCAGCTCGCACCATGTCGACTTGTGCAGCAGAAAAAATACGAAAGAAACTGTGCGACGAGGATCAGGAGACAAGGTCTGCCAGTAGCGGCTTGCTGAGCCGGAGCCAATGTCTACGTAGAGCTGGATGGCAAGGATGGTGCCGGGGACCGAGTGTGAGAAGATGCAGTGCCAGGCCTTCATGCACTGGGAAGGCTACGATCATCTTTCCCATTCGAGGGCGATCCGAGAAGGGCTTTCCTGTCAAACCGCATTCCCGGTAAGGATCGTTCAGTTGCTCGGGTGCCGGCAAGAACTTTCCTTGTCCGGGACTGGAAAGACGTGCTCATCAATCATCCCGGCGATCCGGCCCCCTGGATTAGGCCGACGGAGGCGATGGAGACTCCTGCCATGCAGCACAAGGCACGAAGAAGGAATGGTGCGCCAGCGATGGAAGCTGACGTCTGCGGTGCCCCAGGCCATGACGCAGCTGGTGGCACAACATTTCGAGGCAAGGCGTCTAAATGCAAGGCTCAGAAGCCCTAGCCCTGGCCCATGCCCTGGAGAGAGGTGTCGCCTCCCTTCAGTTTCAGCAGCGATCAAGGCCCAGGGCCCAGAAGACACAGGAGGGATTTTCTAGATGCTCTCTGCTTCCGAGGTGTCTTCCTCGAGGATGCCGAAGCCTTGGCCGAGGCCTTGCAGGCCCGTGAAACACCCTGTCACTGCTCCGTCACCACCTCGACCGTGCTTTGGCAGGTTGGATCCGTCGTTGCAGGGGCCCCGGAGCGGAAAGCGCAGATGCTCCCCCAAAGCAAAACGATGCTCCGTTTGTCAGGTGGTGCATCTGGGTGCAACTGCACTGCATGATTTCGGTCGCCGAGTGCCTCGCGAGGGAGCAAGCGACGAGAGACCTGCCTCGGTTTGGAGCGGAGAACTTGGCCACAACGCTTTTTGAACCCTTGCCCGTAGCAGGCGTACCCAGTAGCAGCTTGTACCACCTTCCCATTTTCTTCCATGGCTCCCCATTCGCGCCGCTCCGCCAACTGTGCGACTGTGTGTCACAGACTGTGTCACAGCACAACTGCCACCTCGCGAGAGCGTGTTTAAAACTGCCCATGCTGGTACAGAAGCTGCAGGTACGACAGCTTCGCAACTTGCAGTGGGGACTCGTGAGCCAACAGCTGGAGCCAGGGCCTCGAAAGCTGCAGCTTCTGAGATACTCCTCTCCTCCCTTCCTCCCCTCCTTCCCCTTCTCGTCCCTTCTCGGATTCTCTGCGACGAGGAAGGTCCGCGTGGAGAGCGTGGTGCAGACGATCCCCGAAGCCTCCTGCAGGCACGACATGCCAACAGGCGATTCCAAGCACTGGGTCCGTAACGAGGAAGTCTGCTGAGACGATTCTGGGAGAACAGCCGCCAAGCTTAGATTTGAGTGGAGAGCGTCTGGGCATCCCCGCCTATTTCGTGAGATTTCAGGTTTGCCGAGTTCCGCCTCGAAATGAAGCAGATGCTGGACGCCCAGGTTTGAGCCTCTTCCATCTCGCTTGTGTCCTCTGAGCTGCTGAGCGTGAGCACGGAAGGCTGCCGAGGAGCCGTCTCGGCTGGAGTTTCGTAGACGCGAGAGAGTTTTGACGGCGCCATGTCCCGCAGCCGCTCGCCGAAAACGGAGCGAGCAGAGCGTCTTGGACGGCACCGAAAGGCAACACACCTCCCCGCCTCCCCACCTGACCTTGGCAGTTCGTATCAGCTGCAATCTCGGCTCCTCTGTCGGAGGCTGCAAGCGCTGGGCATGGACCTGAAGGGCTCCAAGGCCTTGGTCACGGGCGGCTCCCGAGGCATCGGCTTCGCTGCAGCCGAGCTCTTGCTGTCACTAGGCCAGGCCAGGACGCAACAGAAGAAGAGTCTGTCATACAGCATAATGACTGATGTCATACTCTGCGCCCTCAGCTTCTCTGCCCTGTCCAATTCAGGGGCAGAGGTGGCCATCTGCGCGAGGGGTGCGGAGGACCTGCGCGCCGCGCAACAAAAGATGCCGCACAGCGAGCGCTGCCATACCATCGTAGCGGACCTGTTCCTCAGCTGTTTCTCGTCCGTTTCACTATATTATGCATTATTATGCACATGTTGAGGCATGACCTCGATTTTTCTCCACGAGAGGTCTACGCAAGCTGGCATCAAGGCTTTGGTGGAGCAACTTCCTTGGCGGGAGCTTGACATCCTTGTCAACAATTGCGGTACAAACATTCGCAAAAAGGCGGAGGACTTCGATGCAGAAGAATTTAGCACGGTTTTCAACACCAACTTCATGAGCTGCATGTGGCTGACGCAGGCAGCACTGCCACTGCTACGGAAGTCCATGGAAGGCGATAGCAAGCAGCGGAGACGGAACAGTGCTTCGGTGGTGAACGTGTCTTCTGTCGCCGGCTGTCGCCACATCCCGTCGGGTTTCCCGTACGCGGCCTCCAAGGCGGCAATGGATCAGATGACACGAAACCTTGCGGTCGAGTGGGCCCGCTTCGGCATCCGAGTCAACTCTGTGGCACCAGGCGTCATCGAGACCCCGCTTATCCAAAGTGCCAACCCAACGTATGTCAGTGATTTCAAGAAGCTGAAGCCCATGAGGCGCATGGGGCAGACAACAGAGGTGGCTCGCCCAATCGCTTTTCTGGCTAGCGATGCCTCGTCCTTCGTCACTGGTCAGACACTGTATGTCGATGGGGGTTTCACCGCTTCGGGCTTCAACGAAGTCCCAGGGTATTGGGAAAGTGGTTAGACACCAACGGTGCAGAGCGGCGTGCTTGAAAGTGCGACTTGCATCAGAGACTGCTGGACTCCTGCTACTTGTCTTGAAGCGTACGCTGTCAAAGGTTGCAGCTCCGATTGGAGAATTTGCAAGAGGTCACGGAGCAACGTCTAAGTAGACTGGAGGCCGAATGCTGTCCCTGTGTTAATCGTTGCAAAGGTCGCGTGCAATTTAAGAGACTGGTTCCGATCAATATGGGATTCCAGGGACGGGGAAGCAACGAAATCCAAAAAAGCACAGCAGATAACAGAGGGACCTACCCTGCGTGTGGTGCTGCTTTTTGGATCTTTTTGGGATGAGAGCGCCACTGTGACTGTGATGCACCGCAGGAGGTCTCCACGCGGACTCTAGGTTCCGATGAACTAGACGCAAAACACAGTCGCAGAACTCCAGATGCATTTCTTTGAAAGTGGCACGATGTAGCATTTTTTTCATCAGTTGGGGACGGTGATCGGGTGGTTGTCCAAGGAGTTGCACATCGATTTTGAACATGGCGCCACTTTGGGTGAAATGGATTGTAAGCTCAGCTTCACATCTCTTTGTAGCATGTGGCTGTGCAAATGACACCATTGTACTCGGGAGTGGAGATATCCGTGGGTGTTTCATACCGCACAATTAAAGTTTACCGATGCTTGCAGGAATCCTGGGAGCAGAGGCTGGGTCAATTGCTTAGCTTACTCCGCTTGTTCCATGACAGCTTTAAGTTGATTTCGTGCTGCTGTGCTGACCGCATCCACACCTCGCGTCTCGTGCGCAGCATTTGGATCTCTTGGCTCAGGTTCCGCACTGGCTGACGTCAGATCTGACGCATCCATGCTGAAGGCAGAGATAGCTCGGAAAGAGAGAGGACCCTCGCATTCGGCTGCTGTGTGTGCAGTGTTGCAATCGCCATGACTAGGACAAAGATTCTGATGCGCATTGGGCCGAGTTCGAGGCCAGCAAATTGCTTTCATCAGTTTTTGTTGGCATCTCCTCCTGCCTTTCGGTCAGGGACTTTCGAACCTTCTGAGATGCGAGTGCAAGCGAGTTTCGGAATCAGTGGACGCTCTTCGCGAGGCAGGTCTTGCTTCAGCACGTCTAAGAGTTTGAATTACCATGTTGGACGATGTTGCAGCATGTGTGTTGGACCGTTACCAGTAGCCTTTACACGGGCTGTGTGGCTGTGAAAAAGTAGAGAAGATCATTCCAAGATGCCGGAAATACCTCGAAGCATCTGTGCAGATGAATATACGCTGGGACATTTCTGGGTGCTTGAGCCTTGTATGTGTAACTTCGGCTTGGAGCGGGGCCACCCGCTTCGCCAGCCCGATCCCCGAGCTTGGCGCAGCCGTGTCTTCGAGTCGAATATTTCAGCAGTGTGCATTGATCGTCCTTGATCAAGACAGAGTCGAAGCAGCGCAGCCCACTGTTGTGTCACAGAAGTTCTTGAAATGTTGGACCCCAAGCTGATAGTTTCTTGGATTTAAGCATTGCCAAGAGATGGGAAGGAAGGGCAGGGACGAAATGGAAAGGAGCACACACGTCAACAAACGAAGAGTGACATCCACGCCATCGGAGAAGCTCAACCGATTGTGTCACAGGGGCAGCAGAATTGATCGATACATATTCTCATGGCACATGGCAGGAATGCCGGGAGGCCCTGCAGCGCGAGGCCAGGCCGGCTAGCGGCGGCATGCAGTGGCCAGCAGGATGTCAGATGCCTCAGCCATGTGAACAGTACAGAGCACTTGAAGCTGTAGACTCTCCTGTTTCGACCCCGTTTTGAAGCTCCTATCATCTGCCGGATTCTCGCATCACGGTCGGAAAGACAGCCTCGGTGCCTCAAGTACCACAGTCACTGCTGCGCTGACGGCAAACCAGACTTCAGGGGTGGTTTTGTGCGAACGGAATCGAACGGATGCATCGAAGTGTGACTGAAGACGAGCAGTGCGTGCAAAGGTGGCGAAGCCCGGAGAGGAACACACCAACCACACCAACGCTTGAGGCGGCACGCGAGGAAGATGCCTGTGACAGCACGCGAGCACGCACGATCCATGGAGGGCTTGAGGCTAGCGGCCAGCAATGGACGTGCTCGGCCGCAACAACAAGAAAGCCAATGTGTATGGCCGAAGGAGTCAACAAAGAGATGGCTGAGCAAATGTAGAACAGATTGCCAAGAATCGAGGAGCATCAAGAGTCGTTTCGCAAGAATTGAACTGTAAGCGACAGGTTCGAGCTCGGTTGGAACATCACCGCAAACTGCAGGAGGCATGGGGACGGCAACCAAAGCTAACACAAGAAAGTGCCCTCTTGAAGGAAGTCCGTCGTGATACTGATGCAAGACTGCAGGCACGGTCTTCAACACGCCGAGTGATCCGTGTCCCTTCTCTTCTCTCCAGGTGACCCGACAGCTGGAGCACGAGCTCCAGCAGCTTCAAAGCTTGGATTGGTCCTCAGCTAGATTTGGCTGGCTGGACCTTGTTTCAATCTGTGTATCTGGGCGCAGGTGAGCGGCACCAGCTGCGCCCATCGAGAAGTGCAAGGCGTTCGGCAAAGGCCTCGTGGGATGTGGCATGCATACCCGGGAAGCGAGACGAAGCTGCTACAACACGATCATCCTCAGCCGATTTGAACCGCGCTTGCGCTCAGTTCAATTTTGAAGTGAATTCCAGCAAAGACTCGCAGTCCGCTGGTCCGGTCCTTGTCCCCGCCACTCCTTTTGCCAGACTCAATTCTTGTTGTGCGGAATCAATGCCGGTTGTCCTGGATTCCTAGAATTGTGGTGGCATCGTGTCACCCCCAGGAAGGATGTACAAGCTCACACATGCAGATCTATCTTGAATTCTCATGTCATGTATGTCGCTAATGTCTAACTATAGGCCAATCATATCTGAATGAAAAAGCATTAAGGCGCGCACATGTGGCATAGGGTGCTGCTTAAGACCCAACAGAGGCCTGAAATCCTCCAGGAAGCGACTTGCAAAGAATCAACGACATCATTTACCAAGCATTTTGGTTCTGTTCGATGGCTTTCTGTTTCGTATGCTAAACTGGCTAACTGGTAGACGCACATTGCATCCACACCTACATGTCATCGCCTATCCGACTCTAAGACTTGGCACAGCACATGAGTTCTTGCCACAGTTTGCCTCCAAAAACACTTTCGCAGTCAACAGTAAGCCACGCTCATGGGAGCAAAGATACAACTACTCATTCCGCTGGACTTGCAGGGTGAATTTGATCGAGCCGACGACGCGAGAGGCAGGAAGAGGCTATCTGGGCATTGTGTAGTGGCAGTTTCAACTGAGGTAGCGGAACCCGTGACAGTGATCTCACCGGCGTCTGTGTCTAAGTCTTGTCTCCTTGTGGCGAGAAGGGACAATTCCTGACTTTACACAGACATCCCTACAATGCCTGCTGATTGGAGGCTCTGTTTTGCACACTTGATCGGGACAGGGAATGATAAAAAGGTGGAAAAGCTGCCACGTGTGTGGCAGATGGCACGGTGCCGAGCGTTGGGCACCATGTTGCATTCAAAGGTCGTCTTACCCGGCGTCGTTGTACGGCGAGATGCCAGGTCCAGTACCTGGTGAAGTCTGGGTGCATGAGCTAGGAAGGTTCAGCATCTCTTGAGCAGGTTCGCCAGCAGATGCAGTATGCAGCCCAGAGAGTGCCTGCTTAGACTCGGCCTTGCCTAGTCTGAAGCTTCGGGTGCGAATTGAGTCTGGGACAGCAGTAAACCTTGGGAGTGTAAATTAAGAGACTGCAACCCTCACAAGAACAATCGAATGTAGCAGCCACAGCAAAGAGACACAGGACGTGACAGTTGACTTGTAAGTGGGAGAGCAGGAGGCAGGTGCTGATGGTGGTAGGCAGCAGCAGCCGCAGCAGCCGCAGCAGCCGCGGCAGCAGCAGCAGCAGCCGCGGCGGCGGCAGCAGCAGCAGCAGCTGTGGCAGCTGGGGCAGCAGAAGCATTCTCAGTCACAGTAGAAGTCGCAATCGCAGCAGCTGTCACAGTCGCAGTAGTAATAGCCGTCGTCAGAGCCGCAGCAGTAGCAGCAGCAGGAGCTGGATCTGGAGCTAACTAGAGGTGGAGGTGGAGGCGGAGGTGGAGGTGGAGCAGGAGCTGGAGCTGGAGCTGGAGCAGGAGCAGCAGGAGCAGCACGAGCATAACCGCAGCAGCAGCGGTACTAGCAGAAGTAGCAGCAGTACCAGTGGTACAAAAGGTAGTGCCCGCAAGCAGGAGCGGGAGAAGTGGTAGTGCTTGTAGTGCTGATACTGCTTGAAGTGCTATTGGTGCTGGTGATGCTGCGTAGTACTGCTGGTGCGGGTAGTGCTGGTGGTGATAGTGCCGGTAGTGAGAGTTAAAGCAGGTCGTCCTAGTCGCAGCAGCAGTAGCAGTCCCAGTCCCAGTCGCAGTCGCAGCCGCCTGAGCCCTTGCATCTCTTGCAGCTGTCGCAGTTAGGGAGCCT